GCAGGAATGTAATTTTTAAGATGTTTAGCAATACAATTTTATCTTATAGTATAATAATGAGGAAAGATATAAAATACCTTTATTTGGCTGAGAGAGAGAGAACTCTTAAGTATGCTGTGTTTACTAACATTTGGATGTGGATGGACTGTTTTGATATTAAGTACTTTTTATAATTTAGCTTATGAAAGTTTACTGGGCTTATATAAAATGACCATGTTTCATTTGCAGAATATAAAATATGCTATTCATTTGTATTTTAAAGAAATTCAACCTCAGGGTCCAGCAGTTAGCATATTGGCTATGTCGCTGGACTCCCACGTAGTCTACCGTGGTTTGCGTCCTGGACCCAGTGGCTTAAACTCATTCTGGGCGAGTGTGCGTGCGTGCCCAAGATCCCGAGAGGAGAATGGAGGAGAAGGGATTGCAGCGTGGCCATCCCCTCTAGGGGGTGATTTCTTGCTTTCTGTCTCTCTGTCTTTTTTTTTTAGCACACGTGCCCTATAGCAAAACCCTCTCCAAAAAAAAAAAAAAAACAAAAGAAAAAGAAAGAAATTCAATCTTGAAAAATGTTTTTCTTTTGGATTAACCTTCCCAAGTGTCATCATTTGATGCTTCTGAATGTGCAATTATCCCAACATCATATTTTATATTGCTCATTGGTACACATAATCTCACTTTTCTGAGTTTTTAGTAAAGATGGGAGTTTATATGGAAAATATAGTTCAATTTAAAAGTGAGAGATTAAAATTGTAAATTTGACCTCTTAGATAACATCTCTGTTGTTCATAAAATCTGGTTCTTTTTTTTTAAAGTAAATACTTATTTAAATTGATTTATTATTTTCGCATTTAATTTGACCAGAGATAGACAGACAGAGAGAAAATGAAAAAGCAAACCGCCAAGTCCAGGAGCCATGTGGGAGTCCAGCACCTTAATCACCATGCCACCTGCCAGCCCCAAATCTGGTTCTTTTAAAAGATGCTCTTTACTAACATACTTTCAAAGTTAATTTAACTACTATCCTTGTTTTTATGTGTTTGTGGCTAATGGTATACTGCTTTTGTTTACCGTCAAAGAAGTTCGTGTTTTTAATACCTGTTCTTCTTTTAAGGCTACGTTTTGGACACTTGCATTTGTCCTCTCTCATCCCGACATCTACCAGACCATTATGGAAGGCATCTCTTCTGTGTTTGGCACAGCAGGTATCTCACCTGACTTCAGTGACATAATTGGGAACTCTTGGAATCATTACTGTTTGTTGCACATTGGCAACACTTAATACCTGTTATTTTTATTGGAATTCAGCATAATTCAGAGAGAAGTATAATTTGTTACATGTTTGTTTTGAGTTAGAAATTGGCCAGTTAGAATCCTAGAATTTATTTACTGTTTAGCAGTTTAGAAGTCATTTAGTCCAAATGAAGAATGAAGTGCTAGACAGATTGAGATTTGCCTAAATTCCTTACTTAAATATATATGTAGGCTTTTTCTACTGGTCTCTTGGCCTCTTAGTACTATTAGTCCAATGTTTTGGAGTTCAAGATTTTTCAGATTTGATGAAAGCACCATGGTGCCTAAATTCTTTACTTAAATATATACGTAGGGTTTTTCTACTAGTCTTGGCCTCTTAGTACTATTAGTCCAATGTTTTGGAGTTCAAGATTTTTCAGATTTGATGAAAGCACCATGGTGCATATTCCATGTATTACATAGCAGCACTAATCTAAGTACGGAGGTCCGATAAGGTTTGCCACCAAATGATTATATAAAACAAAGACTAACACTAAAATTTTATAGGTGTTAGAGATTTGGGATTTAGAAACTGCAAATGGGGATTGTCTTGAATTTATAATTCTGAAGTGGGCTTTTCATGTGTGATCTGTGTTTATTATTATTATTATTATTATTATTGGCAGTGATACTTTTTTTATTTCTCATGAACAAGAGAGAGAGAGAGAGAGATACCACCCTCAATATGGTCTTGATGCTGTGATCCCTCCCCAGCCTCAGCCCGCCCTGGGTCATAGGTGAGTGTGTGCCTGATGTACTTTGGACATGAGCCCTGAGCTTTCCCAAGAGGGTCAGCCTTGGTGAGCATTGTGGTTTACTGCTATGCCACGGTCCAGCCCCTGCATCTATTTGAAAAAGCAGAAATAAACACAAATGGAGAAGAGCTCCTTGTTTATTCAGTATAACTTGATCTTTTGGCTAGTCACTTTTATTAAAAAGAAAAAAAACTTAAAATGTCAAATTACATAGTCTGATATGAAAAGAATAAAAATTACTTGGTTGTCTTGGAAGAAAATAATATGCTTTTAGGGCAAAAGATATGATTCCAGTTAACAGTGGTCTTTTCCTCCATGTTTGCTAACAACATTTTATTTGGAGTTTCTTTATTTTAAATTGCTTCTTACCGAGTTAGATCTAAAAGCAAACTGGCTTGACCCACATATCAAAGCTATACTGTCTGAGTCTTGGGTGTGAAACAGCAGATGTTAGACCATTTCTATTAGAAATAGTGAATATTAGAACCATTGAGCAACAACAGGGCTAACTGATGAGATTCTGGAAATCCTGGCGAATGTAAGAGAAGACGTCTCACCTTTATGAGACGTCTGCACCCACAAAGCAGCTAGAAGTGTATGAGCGGGACCCACCTGCCTACAAATAGAAAAGGGAGCGCATGTTCGATCGTTACCTATTCTCTTCTTTCTCTTTTATCATGTCTTTACTAGACTTTTCCCTTAACTTTGGGTTCTCCAAATTCTTATCCAAAAAAATAAAAAGTAGGAGTAGGAATGCTGGAAATAATGAGGGGAATCTTTTTGACCCAAAGGCTACAACAGAAGTATAATCTTCATTTAAAGCTCTACAGCATTGAATCTGGAACTCTTGAATACAGTTCTGAGTGGAGAAAGGTAAACCTTTTTTTTCTTTTTCCACGTTCTCATTTATTTTCAGAACTATTGTTCTCATCTAACAGGAAAATGTAGTACCAGTGTAACAGCTATCCTACATCAGTGTTTTTAGCCTATGAGACACTATTACAGAATTAAAATCCATTTTTTATTACTATGTATATACAGAAGCAATTTCAGATCAACCCATGAATAAGAAGTAGTAGCTGCAGCTCAGGAATTGATATGTTGTAATGAGACCCCAGATCTGTGGGAGTTCATATCAAGAAGATACCCATGTGTTCATGCAAATTATTCTGTCAAAGAAAGAACATTAAGTGCATTGTCTTAGGCAGGGTTCTCCAGACAAACAGAACTAGTAAGATATACATAGATAGATACATACAGATATATAGAAAGATCTAGAAAGAGATTTATTATGAGGATGTGGCTGACATGACTACGAAGTTCCATGATTTGCTGTCAGTGCAGCCCCTCAATAGATTGACCCTCATTGTGGATGCCTACCTACCCTAGGGAGGGCAACATGCTTTTCCAAGTCCTCTGATTCAGATAGTGATTTATCACCCAGAACTAGTGTTTAATTTGGGTACCACAGAGCCAATCAAGTTTACACATACAATTAACCCTCACGGTTGGTATCACCCAATCCGTTGAGGTTTGTTTCTGTGGAGAACCCTAACATAGCCAGCCACATAGGTGAGGGCAGTAAGCCTATTCAGTCTACTAATTCAAATGCTTGTCTGAACCAGTAACACCCTCACAGACATACCCAGAAGTAACGTTTAGCAAAGCATCTGGACACCCCATTGTGTTACCTAGTCAGACTGACATTTGAACTAACTTCACGTGCATGCAACAAGAATCTGACTCCATACGGCAGTTTATCCATTCTGTGCTCTTCTCTATTGCAGCATCGTCCTTTCCTTCTTGGAAATATTTTTAACAATTCCCAATGCAGTGTCTCTTTGGGAAAAGAAAAGGTCAGGCTCACAGCACTTTTTTAAAGGCATTTATGCAGTTCTTTAACTATTATAAGAGCTGCCCCTCAGCATGTTTTGTCTTGTCTGTCTACTTTGAAATTAAACCCATTAGAGCTCTCTTTTGAAGATGCTTACTTATCCACCATTGTTGTAGGACATGGTTTTCGCTATTCTGTCTACCTTCTTTAACTGGTTCTGTATACAAGCTATCTTCTGACATTTCCTCAGACTTTATTATGAGTCTTTTTTTAAACCATTATTGCATTTTTAAGAGAAAGTCATGAAATTGGGTGATATATAAATAGATGTTAATTGACACCACTTTGGCTGAGTTGCAGAGTTATCACAAAATGGTGGCGTGCAGGATCTTGAACAGAGTGGATATCCCTGAGTCTCCATTTATTCTGATCTCATTTCTTCTACTTATAAACCCACCAAAAGTCAATCATAGGGACTGTGACCTAATGACCATATCACACCCAAAGGAACACTGTGAGGGGATTAAGTTTTCACTTAGTACTTTTACCATACAACCAAGTCAAGTCCCAGTATATATATATATTTGGAGGGCATTCCAAACTATAGCACAAGCGGTCTTCAAAAGTTCATATTATGAAAAACTGTGTGCATGGATTTCAAAAATACTTTGCATCAAAGTGAACATGTACTTTAATTCCATTTTCCACACACTTTTTAAAGTCCCCTCATATTTTCTACTTCCTTTTTTTGTCTCCTACAGCTACTATGATTTTATTCTTTAAAATTGCTCTCTTTTTTGGGACCAGCAGCTAGCATAATGGCTATGTCGCTGGACTCCCACATAGTCGACTGCGGTTCGAGTCCCAGACCCGGTGGCTTAAATTTAGGGCGAGTGCATGTGCGTGTGTGCCCAAGATCCTGAAAAGAGAATGGAGGAGAAGGGATTGTGGCATGGCCATCCACCCTGGGGGGTGATTTCTTGCTTTCTGTCTCTCTGTCTCTTTCTGTCTGTCTGGTGAACGCACATGCCCTATGGCAAAAACCTCTCAAAAAAAAAAAAAAAAAAACAGAGATAAAATTGCTCTCTTTTTAAAACCTCTACTGAGATACTGAGATAGAAGGAAGGTAGAAGTATATTCTCAGTCCGCCCATCTTGAATAAATATACGTTGTGTGTATGTGACATGGATGAGTTTTTTGGCATTAATGTATAATTCACATGCCATAAAATTTACCTTCTAAAGTATACAATTAGTGAGTTTTCATAAGGTGAGTATTTTAGTCTAGTGTTCTTTTGCAGCTTTATCACGTATCCAGTTAGAGTTTATACAAAGTGAATGTTATATGTAAAGTAATTTTTGACAATTTTCTACACTTAATATTTGACTTAGGAGAGACTTAGTATTCTGTGTTCCTTAGTGTGACGGTCATTCGGGTGCAACCCCCGGGGAGATATGGAAGAGATATAAGAAAACAAAGTTTTTATACTCCCAGTTCCTGGAAAGGGGTAAAAACTTACTGTGCAGAGTCACAGGAAAGATGCCAATTGTTGGCCAGGTGGCAGAAGAAAGGAGCAAGAAGAATCCATAAGCTAGAACACACTCTATGGTGGCTTCCACAAGAAAGGCAGAGTGGGCATAGAAGTTGGTCATATTAATTAGCAAATCACCTGGTTTCAAATTTTTACTCAGAATCCCTGAATCATGGTATTTGTTAAATCTAATTTCCAGTTTTATTCTATTCCAAATTGTTTTTGTATTAACCTTCCCAAACACAGCTGTGAATATATTATATACTCAGAAAATATTTCCGAGGTAACATTCATACTCCCAAGCTTTATACCCATGACCTGGGTGGTATAGTCTAGCCCAACTTTGCATGCAGAGTCACATTATAACCAAGGTGAACCTTTGAATATGCACTGAAAAAAAAAATCCTTCATTTTCTTTCTTTCTTCCTTTCTCTTTTTTTCTTTTTAAGGGAGATTTCTGCTATAGGGCATGTGCACTTGCCAGAGAGACAGAGAAAGACAGAGAGACAGAAAGTGAGAAATCACCCCCAAAGGGGGATGGCCATGCCAAAATTCCTTCTTCTCCTCCATTCTCCTCTTAGGATTTTGGGCATTTACACACATGCACCTGGCATGAGTTTTAGACCGACGGGTGTGGGATTCGAGCCACAGTGGACTATGTGGGAGTTCAGTGGCATAACCATTGTGCCATCCACTGGTCCCAGCATTCTTCGTGATATTTCTGCTATGTGTTACATTTATAATGCTACATATGACAATTCTGATATCTTCATAAGACTGTACATATAAGTA